GGTTACGGCATCCCTTTCCATTAATTTGAATTGTGAGGTTTGGCAATTAGTCTTAATTGTTAGAGACACATATGAACTATCTAAGGCAAAGTGTATAAGTTCAAGAAGCCTTGATAAAGATTATCAAAGCACTAAGTATTAGAAACATGAACTTAAGAAATTCAATAAGTATTGTTTTCTGAAAGTTAAGATGTTTATGAATACATGTCGAAAGCTAGTGGGAGCATAAGTGTTATGTTTATAATAATATCATGATAGTGGAGCATAAATGTTATGATTGTATGATTATTAATGGAAATTGCAAGTTGGCAATATTAATTATAGAAACAAGAGTCATACTTTGCAAAGTTGTAAGAGTTGAAAGTTGTTTTGCTATAATTAAGGGAGAGAATATTATGCTTCATTTCAATCTAAAGGATTAGGTTGCGAATGTTAATAAATTTAGTCAAGGGTACATGTGTGTTCTTAAATTTCGATTATGATTACGGCATTCCCTTCACAATTCGAATTTTGAGAACATAGCAAATAAAACATTGTGCGTCATGTCCATACGCTTCGGTATAGGATCGATTGCAAATGCTTTAATGTTTGACCATTCTAAAATTTTCCAAATGTCTAGCGCATTTAGAGGGAAAAGGGACTAGAATCGGTTTTGACTAAATAATTAAACAACTATCCAAAGGACAATCCAAAGTTCGACGAGGATTGGTCGCTTGTGAGTAGTTGGAAGTATAGTATTGGAAATGGAAATGTTTCCATATTGATGGACAATTATTATGAATAGATAAGATTCTATTAAGAATAGTTGTCATATGGAAAAATATGGAACGTGTCCATATTGGAAGTAATATTGAAAATCTAGATAGAAACTTTTATGCAAAGGATGTTCAAGGAATGTACTTTGAGTGAGAGACATCATATCTAAGGAATTGTCTTGTAACAATCTTCCGATAGAGGACTTTGTAATATCATTGGCAATAGTCATTTGACTTTGGTGCAGTGACATTACAAAGGATCGTTGCATAAAGTGTTAGAATCTAGTATATTCTATAAGTAACAAGAATTTGATATTCTTACACTTAAAAATGGATTAGGAGTTGTAAATGAGATGATTGGAAAGTGTTCATTTTCTATTTCACAAAAGTAAGAACCATAGTAACATTGTGTGCAATGCTAGGAGCAGTGGACTAAGTGTAAAAGTAATTGATTACCCGAAACGACAAATAATGAGTAATCGATATGGTGATAAATAAAACGTGTTTTGTTTATACTCAAAGGGTTGAGGCCGCATGGGATTAGTATTATTCTTGTGTTTCACCTTGCATGTTTTGACTTCCAGAATAATTGAGTTTATTAAGAATAATCGAATTATTCAAACGGGCCACAGTCGTTCATATGTTGGAAGTAGATATGAATGAAGACTGTCATGAATTGGTGTGTGGATTGTCTAGAAAAGTATTAGACATAAGAAAATGTTTGCTGCAATGTTCATGAGTGCTTACGAATATGATTTGAGCATTGGATTAAACCCATGCTCACTTGGATCACTATCTCGAGTGATTAGTGAGACGATAACATCTTATATTCTTGAAACCGAGATGTGTGAGTTGTATCTTGCTGATCGGTTGCACATTGATAATATGTAAACGCACTAGTAACTTGGTGTTATAAAACATATTGTTGTGTGTGATTTGGTTAGTGAGTGCAAGCGAGCATTGTATCAAAGTTTATCCGTTCCTTTTATCCAAGGTAGGATAAAAGCGATATCTTTGGGCCCCTCGATGGTTTAGTGATGACATACGTAAATGCTCGGCCGGGCTAGGGCTAATTTGATTTGTTCAATTAGTCTGTCGTCATAAATCAGAAATCGAGAAGTAGTACAAAGAGAATGATTAGAAATCATATCTCAGACGATATCAAGAATGGAGGAATATATGATCCCTTATCTAAGGACACACGTATCTGATATGATCAGAGTTGACAGCGGCTTTGGAAAGCTACGATTGCAGATCGGGATCTGAAGTCATACGCATAATAGTTGTTAGACTTATCCAAGTGGGAGACTGTTGGATTAGTGTCTAAGTCCATAACTATTTTGGTATGTACTTGACCCGATGGTGCATGGTCCTTTTGGGTTGCCTTCACCAAAGCAACTTGATAGGATGAATTATGGAGAGTAAGGATTAAATATGATTTATTAATATATTATGGGAATAATATATTAAAGGAGAAATCATATTGTTTAATTAATATTAGTCAATAATTAATTGGTAATTAGTTTTGTGACTAAAAGAGATTAATTAAACTTAAGGGACTGGAATTGTAATTATAAGATAATTGCAATTTGGGCCATGGATTGCCTTGTATTAAGGGATGGACGAATTCTAATGAGAAACCCATAAGGAAATCGTCCATGGGCTTAATAAAAGGAGTCTATGGGTTGCTTAGGGCTTAAGCATCCAAATTAGGGTTTCCTTGTTAGATAACCCTAATAGCCCAACTATATAAAGACCCTTTAAGGCTAAAAAACGTGGCTGATGTTCTTGTAAAGGTTTACACATGTTTTTGACAGCCTCCAACCTCTCTCCTCTTCATCCTCTTGCTTATGGTGTTTGTGAACCATTAGAGGAGTGACACTTGTGACTCTAAGCATTCCAAAGTCAATACAAGGAGATTTGAGATTGTTATTTCTACATAACAATCAAGGTAACATTATAAACTCATTCTTATGTTAATATGATTATTTGAATGCTAGAATTAGGGTTTATAGTCTTGGATTCAAAGCATGTACAATAGAGAAACCTAGATCCAAGCATTAGGGTTTGTATGAGCACATAGGATGTCTTATGACCAAAACCCATCAGTTCTCATATGCGTTTCGACACATATTTGGAAAATGATTTTTAGAATACTAGCAAGATATGATTTAATTGTTAAAACCTAATAGGTGGTAAATTTTGTCAAGGCCTTATCATAATGTGGTCATTTTTGTGATTATCCCAATAAATGCCATCTTATTTTAAACCAACTCGTCATTATTCAACATCAATGAATCCTTCTCTTTTGATTATAACATCAAAAGAGATGAAAATCAACTCATTATTCAACATCAATGAATCATTCTCTCTCGATTACAACATCAAAATAGATTAAAATCAAACTTTCACAAACGTTGATCATAAACTTAAATCATTGCTACATATCACCTAAGTAACTTTTTAAAGCAAGCCACCTCTCAGTTAGAACCATTGCTTCTTTTGGCTTGTATTGTGCCACAGAATGACCCGCACCCTACAATTACATCAGTAAAAGATATCTTTATTAACAACAACTCGCATGAATACCTAAATATATGTAAATAAAGAACATTGATAGTTACAACTATTGTGAATCTTACTTTGACTGTAGCAAATGTTAATGAGAAATCATTTTGCGCATATGTCATTTCATATCTGCAAGACAAACCATGAATTCGGTAAACATAATATCGAAGTATGGACTAACAAAATGAAGTAGACTCTCACCCTCCGACTTGATTGTTTACATAGAATGGCTTCCATGGGATCACGACTTTAAGATTAAGAGCAACTATCCATTGCTCGATTCCAACATATGGAAATGTCATGTCATGATCACCGCTGTCAATATATTTTAAAACATTATTTATAATATTTAACTATGGTTCAATTAGGGTTGAGTGAATCTTGTAAATTACCTAAAGATCAAAGCTCGACAATTTTTTCTAACAAGTTTCTTATGGTATTCAAAACTACTAAAGATATCATAAGCATAACAAAATGTGTCATTTTTTCCTTCAGTGTAATGCATTGTTGTGTTGAAGAACTCCCATTTTCCAATCGTTTCCTGAACATAAATCCAATGATAATCCCAAACTTATAACATCTTTTAGGAAATATAAGGCATATAAAGTTAAACAACACCTGTCGAATGTTGAGAGCTTGTTGCACAGCTTCATCATTTGCCCAATCCGCTGCAAAATCATAATAGTACTCCTAAATAGATAAAAAACAATATGAGTGTGTTAATTAGATTTTGGAACCACAATCCTTGTGTTTCATTTTAATTAATCTGATCAACCATATATTTATAAGTTATTTCTTGGTTAAAGGTATTTCAGTCACATTTATTATGTTGTATTAAACGAATGAGTTCGATGCGCACTCGACTAGGATTGAAATTAATATTAATTAGACAAAAATTGTAATTTTTTGTCCAACTGAAAAAGTGAAATTGTTTGTGCAAAAGTTGACAATCTCTCACTCGTCTTCATCATCACAAATATGCATATAAAGCTTGTCCCATACTGCCTTTTCTATTCTTTTCAGGTGTAACAAGTAAAGTCTTAAGAAGAGATGGATTACTCGACAATATGGCTTTAGATCTGATTTATTACAAAGTGGCTCCAAGATATCTTCAATATTTAACCCACTTGTGCACTGCATTTTAAAATTTAGATTGCTACATGTTTAAAGCCAATATTGTCTTACAAATGAATTCAATTGACTTACCTCTTCGTATCTTTTAAGACTATTTACGCATACCGAATTGGCAACATTTTTGTTTACGTAATTACCATGACAATTTTCTATTGCATCCTGCAAAATAAGATTATTATTATCATACAAGTATTTAGTGGTAATTTTTTAAAATGTCAAGTTATTACCTTATAAATGTCATCGGATATAAGTGCCATACGATGACTATATTCAACTCTAGAATTAAAGTCCATGAACTTGTTAGTAAGAGGACTGCAAAGAATGTAACCCTATATCCAAATTCATATAAAACAAAGATTAGTTTTATATTTTTGATTTAAAAATTTTATATTTTATATTAAAAATTGAGCTTTTAGTTCATGAAGTTGGGGCGTTTACTTGAATATTCATTGGAGGTTGATCACCACGTTCGTTAGCTAAACACAAAAAAATTTCAACGATCAAAATATTTTTTCGAAAAGGTGAGATAAAAATACATATAGCATCGAAGGAAACCGTTTACCATTGTACGCTTCCAAAGTAACGATAGGTGTGACAATGCCCATATAAGAAATGCCCGATATGTATAGTGGATTTTTTGAAAATTTAGGATGATCGATAAGAAACTGTTGTACATCAACCGATACATATAAAGTTTGTAAAGTTAATATTGATTTTAAATTCAAAACATGAATAAAAGAAAATTTTATTTGTACCTTTCTAAGAAAATCAATAGATTGTTTGACCACAATGCTATCGCTACTAATCCATCCTTCTTTAGATGTGGCATACGAGAATCCAGTGCCAGCAGGCATATCAACGAATATGACATTCGCCATCTATGCAGTATAACCAACCATATAAGTTTTAGCCGACATACATAACATAAATACTTTCTGGGTTTAAAATATAAAAATATACTAGCAATTGTTGTGAAAAAAACATACCTTTGTCCACGAGTTTGGATTTAATGATAATGTGATGTTTTCAGGAGCGTTCTCAAAGTTAAAACTAAGTGGACCTGTGAAAAGAATTACTTATTCATTAGAACTCCAGTGATATTAACCCCCCCTACAGGAGGGTAATCTGTTATTTTTATTAGAGGGAGACCACTTTTATAATTTTTTTAAACACATGTATTATTTCTTTATAAGAGAAACATAGAGTGTTTGAAGTGGTAGCAAAGAGTATGAAAGTACTTGGGTGCACATTTCCATTTCTAGAAATTAACAATAATAGCTGTGTTTCCTTTATTTATAACTAGAAATGTTACCCCCACTACGCGGAGGCCAGAAATTTTCAATGTTGTTTCCGAATCGATAAATAAGACAGACGTAGAAAGTGCAAGGATAAAAAGCACGGGCTTTGCCCCGGACCGTTTTTTTCATGTATTTATGAAAAATGTAAAAGTTTTTGCTGCAAGGATCAGAAGTGTCAAAACGGATAAATTATTAAAGGGGTAAAAATTAACAAATTTTTAGAAAAGGGATCAAAGCTGTCAAACAATTAAAGTTTTGTGGCCAAACTTTAAATATTAAAAGGTTTCTAAAAAGTATAAAAATATTGATTGCAAAGACAAAAAATATCAAAATAGGTAAATAATGAGGAGCAAAGTGTAGGGATCAATTCTACAAAAAAAAAAATGATAACTTTACTATTCATAACATTCATATCTTTAATATATATATATATATATATATATATATATATATATATATATATATATATATATATATATATATATATATATAAAAGTAAATTTGTTACATTTATAAATATTTATGTTATTGGTTAAAAATAGGATAATCTTTAGCAAAGTTGTAATATTTGATCAAAATAACGAAAAAATCTGGATACCTATTAAATCTACAAGACCAGGTAAAAAAGGTTTTTCGAAGTTTTAGCCCGGTCTTTGTGTTTTTCTATAGTTATAATTTAGTTTTAAACTTTATTAATATTTATATTAAGAATTTATTGAAAATTTAAATAAAAATCCATTAGTCAGTTTTTTTTTTTTTAAACTAGCCGTAACGTAATCCTATGTGTTCTACTGATACTTGAATCATGAACTTTCATTTGAGAGAATCATTTTAGCCAAAGGGACTTTGATAAACAACATAGATTATATGGGTTGATATCTTCTCTCCCTTCTCATTCTTCTTTCTGATCTGCAACATACTCTTAATCGGTGACATACTTTTCCTCTCCCTAGTTTGGTGTTACTATTCTGGCGGTTCTTCTCCTTTCCTTTGTTCGTTGCAGGTGAAATTGAAACCAACATGTAAGGTATAAACAAGAAGTAAGAAATTAGACCTACAGTCTCCAATGGTCTTTCACCTTCTCCCATTTGTTCTTTTTCTTTACATATACACTTTCTCTTCTTCTTCTTTTTTGGTGTTAGGGCTTCTTCGTCGGATTTCCTTCGTCTTTGTGCAAAACATCAGTCACAAGAAAAGAGAAAGAAACTAGAAGAGAGGATGGTGGGGAAAAGGAAGGAAAATAATGGTTTATATGGGGTGTAAATGCTAATCGTTTAGAGGCTTTGTAGCCCCTGAGATAGAATTTTGGCGTTCCAAATGCCTGAATGCTTTAATCATTTAGAACTGGCTTTAAATTGAACCATTCAAAAATGAAAGAAAGAGACCCTAAGACATTAATGACTTGGTCAAATAATGTCCCTCACTTACCCATCCAATTCCTCGCTAAGAATCCTACTTAGACACGACTTAAACCCTAGTTCGAAACCTACACGTAACACGCACTACCCACTCCATGATGATGGTTTCATCATCTCCGATGAACCTTCCCTCGCTAGTGCGAAGGTTTCACTTTCACATTCATGTAAGATTAAGAATTCATCTCCTTCCATGGCCGATGACTCCATTCTCTCTTTCGAGGCTTGATTCCCATTTTTTTTTTTCCGTCCATATCCTGTCTCAAAATGGTTGTCGTCTACTAGTTGCACTGTGGGGTGTGGGGTGGGTCGTTCCACTCAGGTTTTTATTTAAGAAAAAAAGTCGACATATTTTAAATTAGGTTATGATGTGCTAGCAAACAAATATCCAAGAATTTTGTTATGATTGTTGATCGAAATCACTCCCTTGTCTCGCTAGAAGAGCACCATAACACAAAGTGGTGAGAGTAAAGGAGTTATTTTGAACGTTTCATGTGATAAATAATAGCAATTAAAAGGTAACAATATCATCGTCAAAACTATACCACCACTTGATTACTAGTTATACAACAGTACATATAATGAGATTAATAAATTAATAAAGAGTTTAAGGTTTAAACTTCACAAAAAGGTTTAGGTTATCCAAATAAATGTAAAATTTATTGGTTTCTTTTATAAAATAAATATTCACAAAAATGACCATCGAAAATTTTGGAACATAGTAAAATAACCTTACTTTTTGGGTTTTACCAAAATGGTCACTGTTCGAAATAGAGACATTATAATTTTATTTCAAACACATTAAAAGAACATTTTATGATAAAAAATGTATATCGGATTTTAGACAAGAAAGAAAAACATATTCCAAATTTTGTATAACATGTCCTAAATCTGATAAACAAATAGGAATTTTCGAGACAATGTTTTGTTTTTTATTGCCATTTAATAAAAAATTAAAGAAATGTAGCAACTAAAAAGTAATATGTTTTACATGCATAAAAGATAACTTTTGGTTAAAAAAATTGGTGATATGTTGACATTGCAAAAATAGAAAATAATATACAGGCATAAAAGATGATTTTTGGTAGATTAATTGGTGATATTTGACATTTCGAAAATAAATAGAAAGAAATTTTAAAAAACTTTCAAATGAAAAACAAATAGCACATTATCCAAAATAGTCATTGATGTTCATTTTTATAAATGTTTAAAAGTTTAAATGAATTCACTATATTTTCCAAAATTATACTAATATTTTTGTAAATAATTAAAATAAAAAGATTTTATTTTATTTTTATTTTTATCCATATGTAAAATAAAATTATGGTTGTTATTGGGGAAAGGGAAATATGTTGTGTATCCTGCTCATACTAGAAAATGAGATTTCAGCGAGGAAATCAACCATGTATAAATACCCTAACTAATTTTAGGCAAACAACGATGGATCAACGACAAAATTGTCAGTGTATATATTTCATGTAGTTTGTAGACTATCAGCGAGGGATTTCCGACAAACACAAATACGTGAATAAATAGTGAAAATGTATGTTGCAATGCAAAATATGAGACAAAATAGAGAATTTTGAATCAATGTCAAACTTTGATATTAGATGTTTGTCGACCAATAGGTATTTGAATGATAATGTATGGTTTTCTACTATTAAAACTTTTTGCATTTTGTATTTCATATATATAATAGGTGTAATTAAAAAAAATATTAAAATATAAATAATAAATATTTTTTAAAATTAAGTTTTGAAATAAGGAATGAAATTTTAAAATAAAAAACATATTAATTGCAAATTAATATAATATTTATTACATTTACTAGTTTACTTATATAACTATAAATATTATGTGACTTTTTAATTTTAAAAAATAAAGAAACTATAAATTTACATCTGGATATTATTTATTTAAAAAATATCACAAAATGATAAATATCAAAAACTCATTACAGATTGACACGTGATAAATTTTTTTTTTTCATTTATTATAGTAGATGAGATGATTGACGAAATACATATAGAATTTTATGAATTAACGTATTTTTTTTTAGATTAAAAAAAACACAATCTTAAAATTTACCAGAATTAATGACCGAATAACCAATTTGAAACATTGATATGTGAGAGATTAGCGACCTAATAATAAATATCTTTAGTGATGAATTTGCAAGTGATACTCACGAATTTGTCGAAAAGATATATCCCCCAAAGGCCAAATGAACGTGATAATAAATGTTTTGTGACGCAGATTAAGTTTGTTATTTGTAGGGAAATTGACTTATGTTGGTAATTACTTTTTAGTTTTGTTTATATTTAGATAATTTTTTTTATACATATTTAGAGAACAAATGTTTTAATTTGTTATAGTTGGTTATAATAATCATATTTTTGAACATTTCTAATAAGTTTGTTATCAAGAATTGTAAAAAAAAAGTTACCTTCTTAACAAAAATAAAAAACTAATTAACCTCATTAATCAATTATCATTCTTTTTTTTTTTTATTTTACATTCTAATTTTGATTTGGTATAAATTTAACCTAAAAGGAAAATATTTTTAAAACCACACAATTTTGGTAAATATATTTTTTTATAACGCTACATTTATAAAAAAAACTTCAGAAGAGAAAAAAATGCATATCAATTTATAGAATTTGATAGTTTAAGATATTAATTAATAGAAAGTAAAAGTACATAGATTCAGACCAATAACGTTGAAGAAGAACACCATCTTCAATTAAGTTTGCTTCATATATTACATTAAATTAAAACACAAAAAATAGAAATGATTTTTATTTACATAGATAGCATTGCTCTTGTCTAATATATATAAAAATAGAAATGATTTTTATTTACATAGATAGCATTGCTCTTGTCTAATATATATATATATATATATATATATATATATATATATATATATATATATATATATATATATATATAGACACACACACACAAATGGCTCTTAACATGTCGTGGCTAATTTAAATACTTATAAATGGTTATAAATATTATTTTAAGGAAATTTAACGGAATATATTATTATTGCAAACATTATGATTGATCGACTTAATAAAAAGGGAAATTGAGTTATCATGGTATTACGTTCTTGTTTTTTCCACGTGTGGATATATATTTTTTTTTTTTTACACATCTAGGTAACAAACTTGTTGAAAATGTTCACATATGATAATTATGATCGGCTATACCAACTCTAACTTGCAGCTGGTCGTAGTGGTCATATGTAAATATTTTCAACAAGTTTGTTACTCAAATTTATATATAAAAAACAGAATTTACCCAAATGTGAACAAAATAAAAAGATAATTATCTTGATAAGTCAATTTTTCGTTGGTAAATCTCATGCTAACGTAATTGACATGTTACTTTAAGCTATGACATCAGTCCTCGTTGGTAAGATAAAATAATCTTATTTATTTGAAGATTAACTCGTAAAAGTAGAAGATTAAAAATAATAAGTGTAAGGATTAGTCATGGGCTCCTAAGTCATACCATAGTAAAAGAATCTAATGATCAAAGGCTTCTAGCCTAGTTGTATCAGGTGATACTCTTCCTCTTTTACATTGAGGGGTTCAAGTCTTATCGTGAACATAGATAAAAATTATGTGTAGGTTAGAAGTAGATTATATTAACCGGTTAGAAAAAAAAATCTATCGAACTTATCACATAAAACTAGTATATCTTAATAGAAAGATAAAAAGGAAAGAATCTAACACACTTGTGTCGCGCATAAAACTCGAATTAACTGATTTCAATGCAAAAGCACATAGTCTCTTATTTCGTTAATACAAATGTTTTACTTTCTTAAAACTCAAGCTTGTTTATTTATTTGGGTAATTAAAGTGTACACACTCTAACTTGCCTACGAACAATTTAAAATATGCTATCAACTACTTTTAACATATCAACTTCTATTTCTACCAATGTTTTAAAACCCGGGTTGACCCGGTTGGACCGTGACCCGGGGTAAAAGGCGGGTCAATTGAGAACTGTTTTTTGTAAAAATACGAACCGGATCGAACCGGCCGAGTTTTCCTTGAACCGCGGTTCGACCGTTTATGTTGAACCGGTTAAAACTAGGTTGACCCATTTTAATAGGGTTTTGATAGTTGGATACAAATAGCAAACACCAAAACAACGAATCATTTGTGGTTTCTTTAATGTTTTTCAATATTAAAATTTTGTCTACATCAAATTATTGGTTTTATATGTTTATGCATTATGCAGGAAAGTAAAAATATATAAAAATAAAAAAATACCATAAACCGGGTTGACCCGGCGGTTCAACCGGTTGACCCGTGAACCGGTCGTCACACTGGATCAACTAAAAACCTGGGTTTTAAAACATTGATTTCTACCATATTAAATTACACGAATGGTCCCTATGGTTTGGGGTAATTTGCACGTTTGGTCCCTAACTTACTTTTTTAACTCGGAAGGTCCCTACTGTTTGTTTTTGTTACGCGTTTGGTTCCTTCTATTTGTTTTTGTTACACGCTTGGTCCCTGTTTTACCTAAAAGATTATTATTTGAATATGGAAAAATGATGGGATAGGTAGGGTAATGTGAGAGGAGTGGGGTTGAGAGTGTATTTATTTAAATAAATTAAAAAATCAATGACAAAATAGTCTTTTTAGGTAAGATAAGGACCAAACGTGTAACAAAAACAAACAATATGAACTTTCCGAGTTAAAAAAATAAGTTAGGAACCAAACATACAAATTACCCTAAACCATAAGAACCATTCGTGTAATTTACTCTTTCTACTATTCTCTAGAATCCTCAGTGATAGTAACAATTCATATATAAAATATTTTTCATGTTATAAACCATATTGAAAAATATTTCATTTAATATTCAACTAAACATGTACTTTCAAACTACTCTAGTAATTTTTATCAACATTAGTCAAATATTTCGAGCAACCCATTTTATGTTTTCAACAACCTCTTGCAATGCCATGTAAATTAAATCAATAATTCTACATTTCTACCATGCAACATTTTTAAACCTCAGGAAGACAATTTTATGAAATACTTAAAAAAAATCCATTTACTAACAAAGACAGAAGAGATTATACCGATTTGATAGAAGAACGTAATGACAGCAGAACAACCAGGACCTCCGGTAAGATAAAATATCAGCGGGTCTTCTTCTGGATTTCGTTCTGATTCAACAAAGTAGTAGAAAAACTGTGCTTCTTCCTTCTCTCCTATTCCCACATAACTTCCACACAATACAACAATGTTTTAATTAGAATAAAGCGTGAACGTATTTGTGTTAATTTCTATAATGCACCACATTTTCCGATGAACTAATAACCTCTGTTACAGCTAAGAAGTGTAAATCGATGACTTTCTATATGATATATATGAAACCAGTTTTTTCATAAAGGTTGAGAAAACGATACCCCGTTTCGAGCTTGAATGGAAGTTGACCAGGATATCCAGGAAGGGTTTTGACGATTGATTTAGATTGCGAAAGAGTTATGAAGCTCGACTCAAGTGTTAAAAGAAAGAGCAGCAGCGAGGAAAGCGTTATGGCATTCAATCCGTACTCCATTTTTGAGGTGGCAATTTTTTTTGATCCCACAATAACTGATTGGCTAGTATAAATAGAAGCCTTCCACCATGGTTCCTTTTGAAAATATTAAATCTTCAATTAAATTTTGAGTAAATGGCAAAATGGGTTGTTTACAAAAAGTGAATCCAAACTTTATTTATTTATTTATTTATTATTATTATTATTATTATTATTATTTTCTTGCATAGTCCACGTTTGAGAATTATATATATATATATATATATATATATATATATATATATATATATATATATATATATATATATGATAGAGAGAGAGGTAAGTTCAATTAAGAAAATAAAAAATGTTGAGAATAGGGAATTGTTCTCAGCACTCTTTAATTTTGCCGCAAAAGCCTTTGTTGTACAAGCGGAAATGGATAAAGAATACACTTGTGTTTCCAACAAAACATGTTTCCTTAAACTATGCTACTCATTACCCTAATATATACAAAAACATAATTTTTTTTTTTTTAAGAGCTATTTATATGGAAAAATGATTTTATTTACACCAAAATTCATAATTTTTTATTCTTTACAAATAAACATTCATATTGATATACTTTTAAGATAAAATAAAAAATTTATTCACGGTATACGTGTTATTTTTATTTCAATAACTAAGCTACTTTGATTTAAGTCGGCGATTCCAAATTCAAGTATAAATAGAGGCATTGTTTAGTTAATTTTCATTCATCAAATTGATCTTTAAATTTTTAAGAGCAATGATAATAAATAGGAATTCTGGTGAGTTACGCTCGCAACTTTCCAAGCTATACCTAAATTAGGTGATACGCGCTTGTTGTGCTTATCGTAATTAGGTGAGTTATCTCACTATATTATGTATTACAATATATATTCATGTATGTTAGGATAGAGAGCTAGTAAAGTAAAAATGTAATCTTTATGTGTTTTATATTATTATACTCAAGCTATAGAGTAGACCCGAAAATATAGTTTTTATATGCTTATTGTTACTATACTTGAATTAGTAGAATAAATGTAATCTCTATGTGTTTAAATGTTATTATATTTAAGTTATTACGGTTAAGTTAGGGGTTGACGGCGTAACGACGAGAGGCCGGGAGCCTATAGACCCGTGTGTTGACGACGAAATTGCAAGTAGGCCGTAAGTCTAGATACACATTTATTTGGTGGATCGGTGAAAGGTCATGAGCCATTGATTGTATGCATGTATATGTATTGTGATATATGGTATTTTGGGAACACTCACTAAGCCTCGGCTTACAGTTGTTGAATAACTATTTTCAGGATGTTCTTCTAATCGTGGAAAGGCTCAACATGACTATACTCGCATCGAAGAAATTAATAATTTTTTTACACTTCTACTTTAAATCTCTTTTATGTTTAATAAATGTATGACAATGATATTTCAATAAATTTGGGCTTTTGGACATATTTTCTATATGTTTAATAAAAAATTGTGTTGAAAAATGGGACGTAAGAAGTTGGTATCAGAGCCCTGGTTTGAAAGAATTGGATGAACACTTGTGTGATTCCGGACTCAAACTAAGGATCTGAATAATTTTTCTATATCTTTTGAAAGAATTTTATTTAAATGGAAAGGATGTGATGCATACATTCAGCCGAAGCTTAGAAAGGAAAACGATTCCCAATATATCCATATTGTTTATATTGTTGATATGTGAATTATTAGAAATGCATGCTCGTATAAGGGCTAAGGATCTTTTCAGGAGTTGCATTTTAAATAGTCTGATATCTAGTGTGCCTTGTAGTCCTAAGGATTGCTTTTATGTGCTACTTGAAACCTATGCTGATATCAATACTTACTAAGTGTATGCTTTAAATGGTACCTAACTAGGATTTTATAGCCTTAGAATGCTTAATTCAGCCTTACTTCCTGTTCCTTGTTTGGTTGTGGACTTATGGTAGAATTATTTATTTGACTGTCTATCCGATCCTGGATTATGTACGATTTGCATACACAAGGCGACTATTGATGTTAGGAGATATTTCTAATTGTACGGTTAGTAAAAATCCTAGAAGAAAGTCTAGGGAAACTAATAATTTGGCCCCTGTAACACTAGGTGTGTGAAAAGGCCTATTGGTAGAGAAGTGTAGTGACTTGGAAACATTGGGACAATTCTTGGATCTTGTATGGATAGGTGTGGAAAGTAGTATGGAATCGTACTACCGGAAGCACAGGATCCGTACATGAATCAAGAGAAGCCACAAAGTTACTAAGGAATTGTAAAAGGTCTGTTATTTCGAGTTATACATTGATATTAATTTATTCCCATTTTATATCATCAGAATAGTAATGATCACAAGAGAAAACGATTCTAGTTCTGGAACGGGAACGGATGGGTTAGGTCCAAGCGAGACTGATATACGCGATTGGATAGAGGCGACGGTATCAGCAGCTGTAAGGGAGATGATTCCAGAAATGTTCGGATCCATCAAAACCAAATTAATAGCCTTTTTTTTATGAACGGTATGTTGCGGTCACTAGTACTGCTGCCGCCACAGCCAATACTGTTGTTTCTGCTGCAACACCGTCTGGATACAAGGAAATGCCTTACCGAGAGTTCAACAACACCAAACCCCCAGAGTTTGATGGTGTCAAGGATCCAATTGTTGCTATGAGATGGATTTCAGATGTGGAAGGATGTTTCTACACTTGTGCTTGTCCGGCAAACCTGAAGTTTAGATATGAACAAAATCTTCTTCTTCGGGAGCAAAAGACTGGTGGAACTTTGTCATTAAGAACTATTCACATGCTGAGAAGAATGCGGTGACCTGGGAGTAATTTGTTGAAAAGTTCAGGGCAGAGTATGTCCCACCGGTAGAAAGGGAGTGACTCGCTCAAGAATATCTGTCACTCAAACAGACCACATAATCGGTGACTGAGATCACTAAGATGTTCACTGAAAGGGCATTGTTTTGCCCGGATATGCATCCTCAGAACATGTGCAAATGTCTCGATACTTAAGTATGCTTATGACGGAGATTAGGGAGTTTGTATCAAACAATCAATATAGGACCTTAGTAGAGATGCAAGAGCATGCTAGGAGAAGAGAAATTGAGTTGGAAATCCAAACAAAGGAAAAGAGGCATACTCCAGCTCCATCTCATCCAACAGTTAAAAGGTTCAAGCACGCCGATTCAAGGTCTGGAGGACAGAAGGGTCCTAAGTGTAACAATTGTGGGAAACCACACGAAGAATTCTTTCGTACCCTGGTTTGCTATAAGTGTGGCAAGGAGGGACATTACAGTCGAGACTGTAAACAGGGGATTCAAGGGACACGCATTTGTTTCCACTACAACCAGATGGGTCATATCAAGTCCAAATTCCCCTTCTAAAATCAACAAGTGCAATACAAGTTCCAACATCGACAACTTTGAGGATAACAGATGGGCGTCAGGGCAGAGCTGAAGCTCCAAAGGCCAAGGGACGAGCTTTTTAGCTCACGTCAGAGGAGGCTAAGGTGGCATCAGACATTCTAACTGGTAAATTTCTAGTCAACTCTATGGATGCCTTACTATTATTTGATTCTGGAGCAAGTCATTCCTTCGTATCACTTAATTTTAGCAAAAGCATCGATATCACCTTAGGGGATTTAGATTACCCTCTAAAAGTCGAGATAGCTGACAATCGAATGATTAGAGCATCAAAAGTTTATCATAACTGTACCCTAAAGATTTATGATGTTAGTTTTCCGATAAATCTCATTCCCATTCCTATGCGAGAAGTGAATATAATAGTAGGTATGGACTGGCTAGGCCAGTTTGAGGCCCTGATCGATTGTAGGAAGAAAATAGTACGTGTTCGGACTCCAAGTGGAGGAGAACTAATCATCCAAGGTGAGGGTTCCAAAAGAAGTTCGACATTTTGTTCGGCTGCAAGGGCCAGAAAATACCTACAACATGGTTGCAAGGGATTTTTGGCCTATGTGATCGACACCTAGAAGAAGAAGAAGGAAACCGTTGTGGAAATACCATTAGTTTGTGAATTTCCTGATGTTTTTCCTGAGGACTTACCTGGTGGGCCTCCAGAGAGACAGGTAGAATTTAAAATTGATTTAATCCCTGGTGCGACACCTATAGCCAAATCACCCTATCGTCTTGCACCCCCAGAGATGCAAGAATTGTCTAATCAACTTCAAGAGTTGATGGAAAAAGGGTTCATTCGACCGAGTAGTTCACCTAGGGGAGCACCAATTATTTTCATCAAAAAGAAAGATGGATCGCACAGAATGTGCATCGACTACAGGGAGCTTAACAAACTCACAGTAAAGAATCGTTATACACTACCTAGGATTGACAACTTGTTTGATGAACTTCAAGGAGCATCATGGTTTTACAAGATTGACCTAAGTTTAGGATACCACCAGATGAAAGTAAGGGAGGAATATATACCAAAAATGGCCTTCAGAACTCGATATGGCAACTATGAGTTTGTAGTGATGCCTTTTGGTCTCACTAACGCACCCGCCGTATTCATGGATTTAATGAACCGTATGTGTAGACCTATGCTTGATTGTTTAGTAATCATGTTTATCAACGATATCTTGGTCTTTTCAAAGAATCACGAGCGGCATAAGGAGCATCTAAGAGAGATACTCGAAGTTCTAAGAAGGGAGAAGTTGTATGCGAAACTCTCCAAGTGTGAATTTTGGTTACGAGAGGTCCAGTTCTTTAGACAGCTGGTCAACCAGGATGGTATTTTGGTCGATCCATCCAAGATTGAGGCAGTAATGCGGTGGCCGGTACCGACTATTCCCTCCGAAATTCGAAGTCTTCTGGGATTAGCAGGATATTATAGGAGATTTATTCAAGACTTCTCCAAGATTGCGGTACCAATGACTCGTTTAACGATGAAGGGTGTTGTTTTTCGTTGCGGTCCTGAGCAACAATTAGCATTTGAGACTTTGAGGCAAAAGTTATGTGAAGCTCCAGTGTTAGCCGTTCCCGAGGGTATGGATGACATGGTAGTTTATTGTGATGCGTCAATCATGGGTTTTGGAGCTGTACTCATGCAACGAGGTCGGGTAATCGCATACGCCTCTAGACAGTTGAAGCCTCATGAAGCTAACTATCCAACACATGATCTA